CCCGCGAGAGCCCCCCTCGCCGAGGGCCCGCCTCCCGCGGCGGTGCAGGGCGCGGCCTCCGGTGGAGAGCCCCGGAGGACCCGCGCCGATCGAGGCCCCCCTCCGACGGTGTCTGCGCCTCGCCTCGCGGCCCCGCTGCCCCGGCGCCTTCCCCAGTCGCGGGTTGCCGCGAGGGTGCCCCTGGCCCGAGGTGTCCCCAGCCGTCCGCTCGATCAGGGGGCCCCTGGGGCCCTCCGCGCCTCGCGAGGGGTGCCCTCCAGAGGAGGAGAAGTTACCCCTACCTGTGCCCTCCCCTCGTGGTTTCTCCTGCCTGGGCCTCCTGGGCCTCCGGCGTCGCCGCCGCTGGATCCGCCTCGAGATCCCGGCCGAAGCGCACCCCAGGAGAGGCCCAGGGAGCAGCAGCATCGGGACCTCTTGGTCTCCCCAGCTCTGGAGGCCGTGCTGGCCTCCTTGGAACGTCCTGGGGGCACCCTGGGCCACACCCTAGGCGATGTTTAAGAAAACTTAGTTTTCGGCCAGAGTCTCGATTATTCTTAATGTTGCAATGTGAATCCTAAGGTTTCAATCGAAATCCTGGGTCTTTATTCAAATTCTGAGACTCTGACTTTCTTAACCCATGATTTCTTAAGCATTTCGCAGGGTGCAGGGGCACTCCTGGCAGCGCCCGGCCCAAGGGGTAAGCAGGCTGTGCGTCCCGGCGGCCCGGCGGCCGGAGGTCCCAGGGTGCCCAGGGGCTGGCGCGTGCTGCTCGGCGTGCCCCACGGCCTCCAGGGCGCCCCGAAGGAGGGGGCCAGGAGGCCCCCGCGGCCTCCAGGGGCACCCCTCGCGAGGCCCAGGGGGGCCCCAAGGGGCTCCAAGAGGGAGCGGCAAGCTCGGGGGGCCCCCAACCGGTGCGGTGACCACACCGTGCGGTGAGTCGGTGGGGATTCGGGGTCACCGCACGGCTTGGGTACTCGGGCCGTTCTCCGAGGATGTCTCGGGCGACAGGGGCCTCCAGGGTCCCAAGACCGTGCGGCGACGGACCGTGCGGTGAGGTCTCTTGGGGTCCGGGACTCCCAGACGAGCTGGGGGGGCACCTTCGTGGCCAGGGGCACCGTTTTGGCACCCCCCAGCAGAGGCGGACCGCGCGGACACGGGCGGGGCTTGGAGCAGAGGCAGAGCGTCGGAGAGATGCGGGCCTCCGCCAGGTCGATCAGTGGCGCAGCGTCCAGGCTTGCCTGCAGGCCCACCAAAGAATGCAGTGAGAACTTTTGCTGTGGTTTGCACGAACGGTTCTTAGGACAGTTCTGGCTGAGACCGGTTTCTGTCAACACCTCGGGCTCATGCTCTATAAGACTATTGCTTTTGAGAGCACCCCCTTGCGCTAGGAACATGTCGTGGTAGGACTCATAGGAATGCTGGGACGGTCGGTCGTTGCTCAAGCCAGGTACCACGCCTCCCCCGTGCCGGACAAGTCTCCCCCCGGCGCTCCCGCGCGCGCCACCCCCCGCGGGCGCCCGCAGCCTGGCCCGAGCGGCGCCGCAGCAGGCCCTGCCAGACGGGGCGCCCAGGGGCCTCGAGCCCTCACTGTAGCCTCTGCCGTCCCCGGAAGGACTCGGGGGAGCCGCAGAAAGCGCACCCGGTCGGGGCCCTCCGCTTGGCGCGTCGCGCCGCGAGCGCTGGCCCACCGCGCTTCGGCGCCCGGCGAGCGGAGCGGCACTCGACGAGCTCGCAGGGCACGGCGTGTCGCTGGGGCCGTCGACAGCGGTTCCCGACCGTGAGTAGAAGGGGGGGAGAGGCATAGGGGGGATGCATCGACACGCAATCGCCCATCGATCGCCGAGAAGGGCCCGATGGCCCCAAGCTGCCCAGGAGGGTGCGGAGTCACTGTTAGGGGGCCCATCGCCGATCCCTCGGCGATGCATCGCCGATTCCAGGTCGATGCATCCCCCCCCTGTGCAAGTCCCCCCCCACCGTTGCCCCTTGGAGCTGCACGGATCTCCCAGGCCTGCGCCACTCGGGCCCCGCTCCTCGCACCCCCTGGCGGCGCTCCCGGTGCCGCACGCCCGCCCCGCTCCGCGTGCTGGGGACGGGGCGTGGAGAGAGGGGGGCTCCGGCGCCGACCTGGGCAGACCGCGCGGCATTCCGAGAGCGACGGTTTGTCCTTACAGTGGAGACCTTAGGAGCCTGTTTTTTTGGATTCTGGCAAGTTTACTTGCAAGTTTACTTGCCCCCTCCCCCCCCCCCCCCCCCCCCCTCGCCCCTCTTCAAGCCAATACTAGTGTGCAAGTGCCTTTCGACTTGCGTGAGTTCCGCGCCCCCCCCCCCGGGCTTGCTTCAGGCGCAGCCCCCCCCCCCTCCCGTCCATGCAAGTAAACTTGCCAGAGTCTTAACAAAAACAGGCTCTGTATGCCCTGGAAACGACAGGGCCGTTTTTTTTACCTGTTCCGTTTTGCCGTTTGTTTGCCGGTTCCGACGCCGTTTTTTTACCGGCTCCGTCGCCGTTTTTTGACCGGTTCCGGCTCCGGCTCCAATCCTGCAGCCGTTTTTGTTGCCGTTTCCGGTCGCCGTGTTTTTGCCGCTTCCACTTTCAATGGACATTTTTGGGGAAGCAGTGAACAAACGGCCCTGCCGTGTCCGGGGCCCACCAAGGTGGAGGCCCATGCCAAGGAACCCCTTGCTTGCCTCTCTCAAGGGTGCCCTGCGCCCTGGGTTTCCTGGGTCTCGATGCTTGCGCCATGGGAAGCGGGACGCTCCCGCGCCAAAGATCAGCGGACGTCCTGGGGTCTCAGGGTTGGGTGCTTCGAGGAAAGCTCCTTGTGCTCCGGCCTCTTTCGGGGGAGCGTAAGACCCGGGTTTGCCAGGACTCGGGTTCGCCTTCGTTTTTTGACGACCGCGCCTCGGATTTTGACGAGGAGGAGTTTCGTGGGATGTCTGCAGCGGGAGGCCTCGTCAAAATGCAGGCTCGGCCTCGTCATTTTTTTGACGACCTCGTCGGGGATTTCCGAGTCCCCTGTACCCAGGTCTTACGTCCCCCTGGCTCTTCTGTATCTGCCCATCTGGAGGAACCATGGTGCGCCCCTTCATTGTGGCAGCCCTGGTGCTGGCATCGCCAGTCCTTGCGACGGATGCGTCGATCAGGTCGTCGCTGACGTTTGATGCCGCGGCCGCGAAGAACCGTCCGGTCTCCAAAGTCATCACGTTATCTGGAGGGCTTCGCCCTCTGCCGCATGCCACCCTTCCGAATGATTGCATTGGATGCTAGTGTTGGGGACCTCCCTGGGGCCCACCTCATGGATCTGCTCGACTTCAGTTCGACTCAAGTTCGACTTCTTCGACTCCAGTTCGTCTCCAGCTCGACTCAGGTTTCGACTCAGGTTCGACTCAGGCTCGACTCAGGTTCGACTCAGGTTCGACTCGAGTCGACGGACGTGCGACGCAGCTTCGACGCACGAGGGGAGCGAGTGGCTCCAGGAAGGTTCCCAGCATGAGCAGCTAACTTGCATGGCCGCGCCTGTTTGGTAGATCGGTTGGTCTTCTTGTCGGCTGGCCGGCTTGGAACTCGCCGGATTGGCTCGATGTCTCAACTGGTAGGCGTCTGTCTGCCGGTGGGCTGGTTGCGCGCGTGCGCAGCCATTCAGAAGTGGTGGTCGCCTCGGGAGCGCGCTTGGAGTTTCGATGGTTTGAGGCTTCGGGGGCGCGTGCCCCTGGCCATTCACGAGGATTCGTGGCCTGGAGCTCTGAGCCGACTTCTCAAGGATTGACGGTGGGGGGCCGAAAGGCGCCCCCAGAACACGCATCCCCATACAGACAAGTACAGGCTCCCTGTTCTGGAAAGCCATGTGGCGCTTCTGTTCTGGGCGGGCGCCGTGGGGTGGGTTCGTAGCCTTGGGAGCGCCAGCGCGTAGCACTGTGCGATAGATTTCGGCTTCGACGACGCAAACTTGGCGTAGATATTTCCCGGACAGCTCTCTGAGAGCTCAGAGGGCTTCAGATTAGAAGCAGGCAGCGCAGGGTAGGCAGGGAGCTCTTTCCGGCGCCGGGCAGACACCCCCGCTGCAGGTGGCTTGAATTTGCAGCGTGTCCCAGCAAGCATTTCCGGCTCGTTCCCGATATTCGTGCCAGAGTCTTTCCGCATTTTTTTCGAAGTTTCTTGAATGTTCCTGCGAAGCTCCTTCTCGCGCTTGCAAGGTCCCCAGACATCCTTTCCAGCGTCCGACCAAGCGTCTCCGAGAGGCGTTTCACGCTCTGTGGACTGCGTCGGGCGCAACACGCACGGGAGGGGGTCCTCGGGAGTGCGAATTTCGTGTAATTTAAACGGGTATGTGACATGGGGAGCGCGAGCATGGTGTAATCAACAAGGGGTTGTGGCTCCGCCAGCGCCAAGGCGTGGTAATGTACAAGGGGGTGTTTTTTTTGTTTCCAGGGTCGCGAGCCTGAAGTAATTCAGCAGGGATTGCGGCTTGGGGAGCGCGAGCATGGTGTAATTAACAAGGGATTGTGGCTCAGGGCGCGCGAACATGGCGTGCTTTACCCGGGAGTGTTGGCTCGGGGGCGCGAATCTGGAGTGTTATGCAAGCATGTGCCTTTGGGGGCGCGCCCCTATCGGATCTAGCCAGGACCCCAGGTAAGGGGACCCGGTTAGTGGTAGGACCCCAGAGCCCCTAAATTGGCCAGAATCACTAAACCAGGTCTGCCGTAGCTGGTGTTCTTTCAGGTGACGGCAGTTCCGGTTAGTGGAACGGGGCGGGGAGTCCCCCAGTACATATCACCAGAGCAGTTCCCTTTTTACCCAGTTATGCCAACGCCCGACCCTAGGCAGTCAGAGGGGCTTTTATATGGGGAGGGGAGCTGGGTGGTGTTTTTGGCTCCCCCCTCGCGCGGACTTCAATCTCTACGGCAGTGAAACTATACAGAGATCATAGATCATCATAACTTGGGAATTGGACCTGGCGCAGGAAACTGGACAGCCTCCGCCTCGCAGCCTGGTGGCCCCCAAGTGGGCCGGCGAATTGAAGGACATGCTCAAGCAGTTGGAGAAGGAGAAGGAGATGGATGAAGATATATACGACAAGATGGAGTGTTGGTGCGAGACAAACGACAAGGATAAGAGCAAATCCATCTCGGATGCCGAGGCCCGGATCAAGAAGCTGGAGGCGCTCATCGAAGAGGACACGGCCCTCAGCGCACGCCTCAATCAGGAGATCGCGAAGCATAAGGAAGAGGTCGCGGCCGCGGAGAAGGCGCTCGCGGAGGCCACGTCGATCAGAGAGAGGGAGATCGCGGAGTTCGAGGCTGAGGAGAAGAGCTTGCTCGAGGCGATCTCCGCACTGTCGGCCGCAGTCGAAGTGCTGTCCAAACACCACAGGGCTGACGAGGCAGATGCTTCCTTCTTGCAGGTGCCCAGCAGCCGCATGAGCGAGGTCGCGCTGACGCTGCAAAAGGTGATGCAGCAGCACGGCGAGAGGCTGAAGGGCGTGTTGACGCGCTCCCAGCGCAGGGCCACGACCGCCTTCATACAGGCTCCGCAGGACTACTTCGACGCCACGCCAACATTCAAGCAGTCCTACGCGCCACAGTCTGGGGAAATCTTCGGGGTACTTGACCAGATGAAGGAGGAGTTCCAAAAGGATCTGAAGGACGCGCAAGATCGTGAGACAGCGGCGCAAAAGGCGTACGAGGACCTTAAGGCGGCCAAGGAGGCGGAGATCGCGGCAGGGAAGGAGCAGATCGCGACGAAGACAGCTTTGCTGGCCGAGTGCGATGAGCGTCTTGCCCACAACATCCAGGACAAGGACGACACCATGGCAGCGCTGAGCGCCGATCAGCAGTTTCTCATGATGCTCAAGGAGAAGTGCTCCCTCACGGACAAGGAGTGGGAGGAGCGCTCGAAGACGCGCGCCCTCGAGATGGAGGCGGTGTCGAAGGCCCTGGCCATCTTGAGCGGAGACGACGCTCACGACCTGTTTACGAGGACCTTCAACCCGGCCTCCACCGCGAGTGGCGAGGGCACAACATTGTTGCAGAGCGGCATTGCGGCACACTCCCAGCGCCGGGACGAGGCCGCGAGCTTGCTGAAGACCGCGGCCGCGAAGCTGCACAGCCCGCGGCTGTCGGCTCTCGCCACGCGCGTCCGCTTGGACGCCTTCGAGCGCGTGAAGAAGGCGATCGACGACATGATCGCGGCGCTTCTCAAGGAGAAGGACGTCGAGATCAAGCACAAGGACTTCTGCGTCGACGAGCTGAACGAGAACCAGCTGGAGACAGAGAAGAAGGAGCGGGACAAGTCGGACACCGAGCTCCTGATTTCCGAGCTGGAGGCCCACATCAAGAAGCTGGCCCAGGAGATCGAGGCGCTCAAGGGGGAGGTGGCCGAGGCCCAACTGCAGCTGAAGGCTGCAGGCGAACAGCGGGAGGAGGCGAACAAGGAGTTCCAGCTCACGGTCGCGGACCTCAGGGGCAGCGTTCGGGGGGAGAGAGGTTCTGCGGGGGTCCATCGACCCCCAGTCGTGCTTCGCCGATAGGCGCCTGAGAGCCCGCCCCGCTTAGGAGCGTGCGGATTCGCCCTCGGGGGCCTGCCGCCCATCTATCGGCGAGGTGTCCCGACTCCAGGTCGGTGTCCCGCCCCCCGAGCTGGCCCCCCTCGACTTCGGGCGAAGAGAATTATGCACATGCACCGATCCTGGCAAGGCCCATCCTTGACCCATGATCGGTGCATATGCCTTCCTGGCCAAGGCAGGAGGGCGTGTGCACCGATCCTGGGCTCAGGATGGGCCTGGCCAGAATCGGTGTACGTGCATAGTTCTTTTTCCTCTATCGACCGAGAGGAGGAGGAGGAGGAGGAGGAGGAGGAGGAGGAGGAGGAGGAGGAGGAGGAGGAGGAGGAGGAGGAGGAGGAGGAGGAGGAGGAGGAGGAGGGACTGTGGCCCCTCAGGACCAGCGGGCGACGCAGAAGCTGCTGAGGGCCGCGCTCGGCGTGCTGGAGGAGTTCTACGGGCAGGCCGGCGCGTCGCTGCTCCAGCGGCAGGAGCCCGTGGGCCCGCCGCCGCCCCCGGGCTTCGCCGACTACCAGAACCACGAGGGTGCCAGCGGGGGGGGGGCGAAGCTACTCCAGAGTTCGTAATAAAAGGGAGGGGGTCTCAACCCTCCCAGACGAGAAGTTTTAGACCCCCCCCCCTGGGAGAACCCTCCAAAACATCGTCCCCAGACCCCCCCAGGCCCTCCAAGATAGCCTGGAAGAGACCCCCCCCCGAAATGAGACCCCCCTCCCTTTATTACGAAATCTGGAGTATCCGTGCACGGTACAGGAGGGACGTTCGTGGGCAAGTCACGGGGGTGTGTATGCCCTCTGGATTCCGTCCTCAGCGTCGACTAGCGTCGATTGGCATCGGGGAGTCGATGAGATGGCGCCGATGCAGGGTCGGCTAGCGTCGATGAGCGTCGAGTTAGCGTCGATGTAGCGTCGATTCGCGAGAGCCGACAAGATGGTATGGGAGGCTCTGGCGAGTTGCACCGAAGCGGCACAGGTCCTGTTTTTCGTCAGGGCAATCCAGGTTTCTTCGCTCCCCGCGCTGCTCGGCGGCTTCCCGCGGCCGTCGCAGAAGCAGCTGCGTTCGGGGTGCTCTGGGTTCCCTCCCGTGTGCATCTCGCGAGGGTTTCTTACGGCCGCGTCCGCTCGGGATCCGTGCAACGCGCCCTCGCGGTCCGGACATCTGACCATGGATCCGCTCCGCGCCTGGCGCTCGCGCGGAGCGGCCGCGGGCGGTTCCCGCATCCAGCGGGGGGAGCGGGCGCGCGGTCGAGGGAGGCGGGCCGCGGGGGCACGGGCATGCAGCTGCCGGTCGCTCCCGAGGTAGCGTCGGAGTCATGAAGCTGATAGCGCAGATCGCCGAGGACGCGAAGGCAATGGAGGCGGCGGCGCTGAAGGCCGAGGAGGAGTCGCAGGCGGCATACGTGGCGTTCGTCGATGCGACCAACGCTTCGATCGACTCCAAGGAGAAGGAGATCATCAACAAGGAGCAGGAGAAGGCCAAGACGGAGGAGGAGCTCGTGAAGCAGAAAGAGATCCTCGACAGCATCCTCGCGGACCTGGAGAAACTGTCCGACTACAACGCGCAGCTGCACAAGAGCTGCGACTTCGTGCTGAAGAACTTCGACTTGCGCCAGACGGCACGCGACGAGGAGCGGCGGCGCACCGAGAGGGAAAGGGGAGGCGGAGCGCGTCGGCGACGACGGCGTCGTCGACGCCGTCGCTTGGGAGGTTCCTGCGCGGTTCCGGGGGTGCTCGCCGCCACGGCTGGAGGCGATGTTGGAGCACCGGCCAGGCCAGTGCGGATCCCGGGAGGGTTCTGGGGTGTTGTTCTCTGGCTTCGGGCTTTGGGCGGTGCGAAGAGGGCGGCCTTCCTGAGCAGGCAGGGGGCACATCTGATTCGAGTAGGCGATCGGCTACAGAGTTGGCTTACCCCAGAACCAATTCTGTAGTCGATCGCCTGCTCGAATCAGATGTGCCCCCTGCCTTCTTAGGACGGCCGCCCTCCTCGCACCGCCCCGAAGCCCAGATCCGCCAGGGAACAGCACCCCAGACCCCTCCTACTCGAATCAGATGTGCCCCCTGCCTTCTTGGGAAGACCGCCCTCCTCGCACCGCCCCGAAGCCCAGATCCGCCAGGGAACAGCACTGCACCCCAGACCCCTCCTACTCGAATCAGATGTGCCCCCTGCCTTCTCAGGACGGCCGCCCTCCTCGCACCGCCCCGAACCCCAGATCCGCCAGAGAACAGCACCCCAGACCCGGCCCGGGGATCCGCACTGGACGGTGCTCCAAGACCGCCTCCAGCCGTGGTGATGAGCACCCCCGGAACCGCGCAGGAACCTCCCAAGCGACGACGACGACGCGCTCCGCCACCCCTTGGAGGAGGAGGGGGAGGTGGAGGTGGAGGTGGAGGAGGAGGAGGAGGAGGAGGAGGAGGAGGAGATGGAGGAGGAGGAGGAGGAGGAGGAGGAGGAGGAGGGAGAGGAGTGGGAGGGGGAGGAGAAGGAGGAGGAGGTGGTGGAGGAGGAGGAGGAGGAGGAGGAGGAGGAGGAGGAGGAGGAGGAGGAGGAGGAGTGCGAGGGCGAGGAGGAGGAGTAGGAGGAGGAGGAGGAAAAGGAGGGGGAGGAGGAGGAGGAGGTTCTCCCTCGGTCCTCGGAGGCTTCTGCGAGTGCTCCGCAGGAGACCAGCGAGGCCCAGAGAAGCTTTCTGGTCTCTTGAACGGCCGCAACCCCCGCGTCTGCCCCCACACTCGAGCTTCGAGCCCTCGACCATCGACCATATCATTTCGATGTATCCTCGACTTAGCTGCCTCAAGACTCGAAGAAGAAGAAGAAAACAGCATAAGCATAAACTTGTGGCGCTCCGCGCGGATTTTTGTCGATCCGCGCTGAGCCCCCCTGGCGGCGCCAACGGCGCCGCTCCTGGCCGGCTCCGCGCGCCAGGGAGGGGGGTCCAGCGCAGATCCAAGAAAGCTGCGCGGAGCGCCAGACGTTTATGTTTATGCCGTTATTTGTTCTTCTAAATGCGCCCGTTGTGACATGCAACACGTAGCGTGCTGAACACGCCCGTGCCGATATGTTGGCTCAGCGTATTGGCCCACGTTTTGGCGAACGTATCGCGCCAGACCAGCACGTGTTCGGTCTACGTGTTGAGCTCCGTATCGATACGCTACGTGTTGCTTGTTCTGTATCGGGGCAGCTGAGATCCTCGATCATCTACCTTCCATCCTCGATGCTCGTCGCCTCGATCGTGAATCCGCTTCAAACTGCTCCACCAGACCCTGACGCGATCCATCCTGCTTGGTTTTCCGAGCCGTGGTGGCCGAGAACCTCCCGATTCGCTCAAACGCTTCTCGAACACCGACGTCGACAACGTCGTCGTCGTCGTCGACGCGCTCGACGTCTCCAGACTCCCGACGCGCTGATTTTTCCACGAACAGTTCACGGGCGGCGAACATATCCGTATCCGCGCCCTCGCGGTCTGGATTCCAGGGCGGACGTGCGGGCTCATGGACACGTTCCGCGCGGGGCAGCCGCGGCAGAGGCGCCTCGTGGGCCGCGGGGCCGCGGCCCGGGGGCCCGGGCCGCGAAGCCGCAGATACGGGTACGCGCTTCACCCACAACAGGTGGACCCGAGGTGTGAACCCCTACCTCGGGACCCGGCCCTTCCTCCCAGGCACCGAGAGATTCGGTAGCAAGTCATGGGAGCCTGGTGTACCCTTTCTCAATTCCGTCTTTCGCGTCGGTCAGCGTCGATTGGCGTCTGGGGGTCGACGAGAGAACGCCGATGTAGCGTCAGTTAGCGTCGGTTAGCGTCGATTTAGCGTCAATTAGCGTCGACTAGAGTCGATTAGCGTCGATTCGCAAGAGCCGACAAGATGGTATGGGAGGCTCCCATGAGTTGCCACCGAAGAGAGAGCGCTCGCCCGCACAGGTCGACAGAGGAAACCTGCACTGGTGCAATCGGCACTGGCACTGGGGCGTGGCAGTGCAGTCCCCAGTCGGTTTCGCCAGTCGATGTGCGTCTCGCCGGACGCACTCGCCGTTTGGTTTTGGGCGTCGACTGGTTCCCCCGCTGGGGTGCGGCCGGAGTGCGGTGCCGGGCGCACGTGGAGTGCCCACGGCAGCGTTCAGGAGAGGCCGTTTTGCTAAGGGGGGGGTTCTGCCCACCCCCGCTGCACCCGTGCCCATCTCGGGCCGAACGAAAGGGGGGGATTGGGAGAGGGGGGGTCACGAAATCTGCTACATGCAGCTGGTTTCGGCCCCGCCGCCGGGCCCATTCCTCGATACATGGGCGCCTCCCGGCGCCGGGAGGCGCCGGGAAAATCAGCTACGCGAGCTGATTCTCAACCCCCGCCTTTGCTATCCCCCCCTTTCGCCCGGCGTGACCATCGGCGGCGGGCCCGGGGGTGAAGCGAGAAGGCGCGGGAGTCCCCCGCGGAGCGAGACAGCAACGCGACGCCGACCAAGCAGTCGAACTGGTCGGCCCTCTGGGGTCTCGCAAGCTCACCCGCGGAGACCCCGAGCTCCCGCAAGAAGCTCCGAGCCTCCCCCTACGAGAGCAGCGCCTGTCTGGGGAGCTCCTACAAGGACCTCGAGGCTTAGAGGCTCGAGTCGGAGAAGTTGCTTGAAGCTTTCCCCGAAGACACAGGAAACTTCTCGGAAGGCGCGATGGCGTCTGAGGAGCCCCGCCGCCTTCGGAGAAGGCCGTCTCCTTCTCGCTCCCCCCCCCCCTCGTCGGAGGGGGGGAGATGCGACGCCAACACCACCAGGGGGCCCACCTCCAGCGAGGAGGTTCCCGATGCCTCCCCGAGCTGGAGGCCGGGGATGTCTCGAGCGAGATGGGGGGGGGGGGGCACGCCACCAGGGATTTGGACGCCCGAAATAGGTACGGAAAGAATGGGTACGATGCCCAACAGCAGTTCCTGTTCAGTTTGAACAGGACTCGCTGTCGGTGTCGCCGCGGCCTGTGTCCATTGGAGACAGAAGGCCGCCTGCCCAACAGCGGCCGCTGTCGGCTTGGAACGACATTTGTTGCTGGGCGTTGTGCCCACTTCTTCCGTACCCATTTCGGGCGTCCCAAAGGGAGACCCCCCCTTGCTCCTCGCGCCTCCTCGCCCCTTTCGGTGCTGGTGCCCCCCTTCCTTGTTCCTGCCTCGCTCGCCGCCGAGTCCAGGCCGGCCTCTGCCGCCCACGGCCTCGGCCTCGGCCTCGCCCTGGGCGCCCGCAGAGGACGGGGGGGGGGGGGGGGCGAGGGAGAGAGAGGCCGAGCCCTCCTGGCCGGCGCCCGGCCTCCCGGCGCGCGCGGGTGCCGCCTCCGAGAGGCGCTCCGCGGCGTGCGCGCCCGGCCGCTGCGCAGGCAGCGGCGCGAGGCGGCGAGGCGTCGTGGGGTGCGGTCAGGATTTTGTGCCCACACCCAGTGCGTCTTGGGCTTTCTTGGGCGGCGCGCCACAGGGCTGGGGCGCGCCGGATATGGATAGACGTCTAGCCTCTATAGGGTTATGGTGCTCCAGCCTACTCTAGCCTCGGCTGCCAGCAAGAGTTTGTTCGAGCGCCGAAGCAATACCGAAACTCAAGGGTTTTCACGTGTCGGGCCCTGGGAGACACTCGCCCGACACTGTGTTGACACTGTTTCGACGCTCATTCGACATTTTCCGGGTGCTCGAAGTCATTTCTGGGATGTGGTCCTTAAGTAGGAAGGGAACAGCATACTTATATAGGGGTCATCACCTTTATCCGTATCCAGTGCGCCGCGGGGTTTTGGGGAAAAAAAGAGCCCCAGAAGCTCCATGCTGCAGCGGACGTGGACAGAGGTATGGCCCGCAGCGGGGTGCCCGCCCGTCGGCCGTCGAACGTCGGCACCTCTGACCTCCCAGGTTCCAATCTACAGTCAAAAACCCTCCAAGCCTCCAACTCCTAACCTCCAAAAACCTCCTAACCTCTAACCTCAAACTCCTAACCTCCAAAAAGTCAGAAACTCAAAGATCTGCTGCCTCCTAACCTCCAAAAACCCGAGTAAGGACGCGCGGCTTTGCTCAGGATACCCTTGCGTCCTTGCTCTTCCTTGCTCCTGCGTCTCTGTCCTCCCTTGGTCTCGTCTTGGGGTTTTCGTCGTCCGCCGCCCCAAAGATCCCAGCTTCGGCTTCCAAGGGTCTTGCGTCCTTACCGCGCGTCCTTATTCGGGTGTTTGACTGTACTCTCGGCGCCTTCCCACTTCAGGCGTCGAGCGGCCTCGCCGGTTCCCGTCCTCTTTTGGGGGGGCGGGCGGGAACACAGTCTCTGTTTTCAATGCCCTCCTACGAATGCTTCTCCCCACTTTCTTCCGACCGACGGGTATGGGCCCACCAAAGAATGGTGTAGCAAGCTCTGTGGCTTGTACGACATGTTCGTAGAACGTGTACGGCTGGCATTGCATTGCTGCACACATCGGCTTTGTGCTAAGAGCATTGCTTTCGCAGACAGAACATTATGCTGTTATCACCAAAACTTCGTGGTAGGCCTGTTGGAATGCTGGGACGGTCGGTACCTGCAGAGCCGTGGCCGGTGCAGCCAGCCGGGGTTCGAGGTGGCCGAGGCCTGGTTCCAGCGAGCAGGAAGGGTGGAAGAGCTTCGAGATTCTGGATTTGGGTATGTTTTTTTCGTTTCTCGACCTCTGGGGGTCGTTCTCGAACGCTGGACCGCCAAAATCGGATCCAGGGTGAACAATTGTACCACATGGACTCCAGGAGGGGTCCAGGGACTGATTTTGAGCGGATTTGTCTTCATCCCCCTTTTGACAGTTTTTCCTGGAGCTCATCCAGCTCAGATCCCGATCGCGCCGCATCGCCGAAGCATCGGCGATGCGGCTCGATGTGGACCTCATTTTCCCCACGCCAACGGCGCCAATGCATCGCCGGCGCTGCCGATGCAGCGCGATCCTCCAACACCATATATTCGATCTCCATTCGGGAGGCGTTTGCTAAACAACTTCAGGCGTTTACTGAACAGTCCTGATTTGTTCGGTTCCTTCCGTGGGCGCGTCAGCTATACAGTGCTTTGCTTGTCGGAGTGTTTACGGTTGGGGACGTTTGGACAGCTTGTTTCTCCGCAGGGCCTGGCCCAGTGCGCCTCGGTACGACACGCGGCCTACTTCCTGGTGGGCGTTGTTTAATTAATTGTTTTGCCGATTGGCGCGGGCCCTCGCACCCCCCCTTCCCCCCCCATGGAGTAGATCTTGGCTATTTTTTGGTGATTGCTTCGAGCAGGTGGAGTCGCGCCCTCGTGGGACGCGATGTTGCAAACAGTCGCACCAGGCAGAGGTCCGGAGCCAGACCCCCCCCTCCCCCGCCTCCAGCCCAATGTCGAAACGCCGAACACAATAACGCTCACCCGGGGAAACCTAAAGGCTAAAGGTACCGACACCGCTACTCCCTGGGATTCTCCCAGGGTGCATCCTGACCAGAATTCCGAGGCGAATCCAGCGGTGGCGACGAGGGCCTCCCAGGAGGCCCACCAAGGGGAACACGAGGGGAAGGCAGAGGCATGGGCACCTCTGCCTCCTCTGACTCGCCTGGTCCCCAGACGTCGGCGTCTCGAGCTCCTCGCGACCTCCCGCCCCGGCGGGCGGAGCGACTCCGCTGTGCACTCGCGGGGCGCAGCGCGTCGCCGGGGCCGCCAGGGCGACGCGCGGAGCCGAGGTTCCCGATCTATGAAAGGGCGTGTTCTGCCGCTGCTGGCGGAAAACCGGGGGGGGTCACGACCGGTTCGACCCCCCCCCCCCTCCGGAAAACCAGGGGGGGGTCACTACCCGTTCGAACCCCACCCCCCCCCCCTTATAGTTCATCATGAAAAAGGGGGGGGGGTCACTACCGGTTCGAACACCCCCCCCCCTCGAACTCGAAAACCGGGGGGGGGTCACTACCGGTTCGAACCCCCCCCCCTCGAAAACCGAGGGGGGGTGCGTCTGTTTTATTCTTCACCCACAAATTCCGCCTGTAGGGGGACATGCCCGACCTAACCCGGGAGGCCCTTGGCCGCTCTGGGCGGCTGCTGCTGCTGGCGGCTGGTCAGGGTCCCTCTCGCCCCAGCCTGACCCAGACCCCCCCGCCTCCACCCCCCCTTCGACCACATGTCGAAACCCAGGGTGGAAACTACCGTCAGAGCTCCGGATCATCAGGGCTGGCATGGTGAGGGGTATCCACAGATTTCGCTCCTCGGGGGACCAAGCCGGAGGCACCCAGGACCGCAGCTCTCCTGGATCACCTGGGCGTCCAACCCTCCCGAACCATCAGCGCTGTGGGCGGTCAGGGGTGTCTGCGGGTTTGCGCCTCGTGGGCCCAGGCTGGAGTTATACCTCGGACCGCGGTAATATGCCGGATAGTTTGGGCGTCGCCATTTAGGCGGGGGGGGGCGACAGATGAGGGGGGCAGCGAGGGCTGCAGAAAGGGGGCACTACAGGACTCCTAAAGGGGCCCTCTAGGGCCCTCGAGGGGCCCTCCAGGGCCCGAGAAACGCACCTTTCTCCCTCCCCCAATTGATCCCCCCCCCATGAGAAGCGACGCCCAAATCATCAGGGCGTCCACTTGGACGCCCCCATGAGTTGGGCGTCCCAGTGGACGCTCGAACTTCTATATGCCAGGAGGTGGAAGCGCTCAAGCAGGCCAAGGCGATCCTCCAGGGCGCGAAGTTCTCCGAGTTCCTGCAGCGGGGCTGAGAGCCTCTGGTCCAGGCCTCCGAGATGGGGTCGGAGTAGATGGGGTCGGAGGGTCGCGCCGCATCGCCGATGCATCGGCGATGCGGTGTGGAGCCCGTTTTCGCCACGCCGACGTCGCCGCTGCCTCGCTGACGTCACCGCTACATCGTCGATGCCTCGCCGATGGATCGGCGACGCATCGGCCGTGCGGTGCGGTGCTGCGGCCCCATCTGCTCCGACCCCAGCCGGGAAGCCTCCCTCCGGGCACAGGGGGAGCCCCCCGCGCCCGCAGTGCGCCGCGCAGCGCCGCGGGGCGCCGCGCCGGAGCTTCCTTTGGAGCGCCGCGGAGCGCGCGGCGCGCGCGGGGCGCACGCCGCACGCTGGCTGGCGAGGGCCTCCCCGCGACGCGGGGCTCAAGGGACGGCGGTGGGCAAACCTCCTTTTCGTAGACCGCCCCTTAGTGAAAGCGGCCTGGGACCGAAACCGACGGACCCGGAGCCGCAAAAATGACGGCCGCGGCGCCCTCTCGCGAACCGAAGACGGCCAATTCCTTAATCGACGCGTCAGGGTAGGAGGTCTGTCCACCCCCGAACTAAGAGACGGGAGTTAGTCAGTGCAGCCCGGGGGTCAGTCAGAGCGCCAGATCCTGCAGGGTCCTGCAAGGGGGGCCAGGCACCAGGGGAAGGAGCAATGGCACAGATATAGGAACTCGGAGGTCCGCGCGGACTTCTCGGATCCGCGCTGGACCCCCCTGGCGGCGCCTCCGGAGCCGCCCCTGGCGCGCGGAGCGCGCCAGGCAGGGGGGTCAAGCGCCGATCCGAGAAATCCGCGCGGACCTCCGAGTTTGTATGTTTATGTCATTGTTCGTTCAGGAGCGCAGTGTGAGCGGGGTTGGAGTGCTGCATAGTTTTGCAGGATCCTGCAAAGCCTGACTGACCCCGGTCAGGATTGACCCGGGCCAGTACATCCCCGAAAGAGAAGACCCAGTCCCCCTCGATTCATACCAGAATCACGACGGGAGATGCTTCGCCATTTTCGGCCTCTAGGGGCCCTCACCAGCCCTCGGGACCGTCCAAAAACCGCTCGGGATGAAAAACCGGACCCGGGTGATGGGTCGAGACCTCTGGGTGCCGAGACCTCTGGGGGAATGGGGTGATGTGTTGTATCTTAAGCGCATGTGAACACAAAATCATGTACGTTCCAGGTTGATTACAGAGCATAAGCCAAAATCAAGAATGATGAGTCACGTTTATCTCAATGTATATCTACATACACACAAGAAGCAACAGGTGACCGTACAAACAAAGCATGACGGCGGGAGGAGGAGGAGGAGGAGGAGGAGGAGGAGGAGGAAGCGAGAAGGAGAATGCCTCCTCAGGAGGCGCGTGGGGCTCCTCGGGCTGCCCTCGCGCCTTCGGAGACGCGCACCCGTGCCCTCGGCGGAGGGGCGCGGCCGCCGGGCGCAGAGAACGTAGCCTGCGGCCCGGCGCCGCCCTCGGGCGCCGCGGAGCCCTATCCGCACGGGCCTCGGGGCCCTCGGGGAAGTGCTCGGGGTGGGGTGCGGACCCCCCCGGGATCGGGCTTGTCCCTCTGCAGGAAGGAACTTCATGATGATGATGATGATGATGATGATGATGATGATGATGATGATGATGATGATGATGATGATGATGATGTTGTTGTTGTTGTTGTTGTTGGTGTTGTTGGTGCTGTTGGTGTTGTTGGTGTTGTTGGTGTTGTTGTTGTTGTTGTTGTTGTTGTTGCTGTTGTTGTTGTTGTGTGCTTGCATCTTTTTTTTGGGGGATGTTCTGAATCCGTTTGACCTTTCCGTCGTTGGTGCCCCGCGCGCTGCCCTCCGTGGGGCCTCCTTGTTGGGCGCGGCGGCGAGCTCCGTCGAGGCCCTCGCCCGCCCCGCCCACCCCCCCCAGGGTGCGCGCTGCAGAACCCGCCCTTTGCATGCAGACGGGCGTGTCCCTCCACAGGAGGAATATGCAAAAATAGTCAAAAAAAATCGTCTGGGGACGATGTTTCGAATATTTGTTTTGCTCCCTTTGAGTGTTGCCCGGCCCCCCCCCCCCCAGGGTGCGCACTGCAGGTCCCACCCTCTGCGAACCGCACCCTGCGGAGTCGCCGACACATCGCCACGCAGGGTCCATTCCCAGACATGGTCGCGTCGTAAGACATTCAGGAGGGAGGTTTTTCTGCGTGTTTTCGGCCTCTGGAGGCCCTCGCCGGGCCCTAGGACAGTCCAAAAAACTACTCAGAACGAAAAACGGGTCCCAGGGAACGGGTCGGGGTTTCCGGGGACCGCGTACTGAAAAAATCAGGACGCCGCACGTCTCGGTTTCGATCCGCTCGATCCGGTTCCATGTCGCTTCCGGCCTGGGCCGAGCCCACTCTGGCGCAGCCGAGCCGATTCGATCTCGACTCCGTGTCGATGCGACCAGATCCTGCGCAGATTCCGGTGCTCGGGGCTCAAGTGACGGCGGCCAATGCAAACAGGGGTCCGCCAGAGCGCCGGGTCTTGCAGGACTTTTGCAAGCAGGTGTGCATTGGCCCCAGGTCCGGGTGCATGGCCCTGCGGGCTCCGGCAGGACCTCGCAGGCTCCCGCAGCGCTCGGCTGGCCCGGGTCTGGTCCCAGACATCCGCCGATCTGATTTTTGCAAGTCGCGGCCCCAGACCCAGACATGATAGCGTCGTAAAAACAATCAGGACGGCAAGTTATTCACTATTTTTCGGCCCTTGGGGGCCCTCGCCGGGCCTCGGGACCGTCAGAAAACGACTCAGGACGAAAAACCGGTCCCGGGGAAAGGGTCGGGACTTCCAGGGACGCCGCCCTGAAAGAATCAGGACGTCGCAGGTCTGGGGAGGTCCCGGCTCCTCCCCTGGGGGTGGTTCTTCGTCCCAGATCCATGTCTGCGGGCCCCTGGGCTCGACAACGGGCCCCGGAGGCCGAAGTCTCAGAAATCAGGAGGGGGAGAAACACACAGACACAAGGAGTCGTCCATTCCCAGGAAAAGATGGGAACGTATGGGAAGTGGGGGGGAGGATAAGAACCCGAAAATATGCGAAAATATGGGGAATCCTGTTACTTGTGTCTACTTACTTGTGTATCCCAGGGCCCCTTCAAGAAAAAACACCAGATCCAGAAAATCATATCCTCTGTTCTCTGGGGTTCACCCGGGCCAGCAGATCCCCGGGAGGCGATCCGACTTCCCGGCTGAGCCTGCCACGGCGCAGACGGGTCCCAACAGAAACATGGCGCAAGCTGTCAGTCGGGCCAGGCGAAAGGGGGGGTTTGGGAAAGGGGGGGTTACGAAATCTGCCGCATGCAGCTGGTTTCGGCCCCGCCGCCGGGCCCATTCCTCGATGCATGGGCGCCTCCCGGCGCCGGGAGGCGCCGGGAAAATCAGCTACGTGAGCTGATTCTCAAACCCCCCCTTTGCTATCCCCCCCTTTCGCCCGACCCGAGTCCGGCACGAGGGGGTTCAGGCCCTGCGCTCGAGGGCTGCGGCTCGCACGCTCGAGCGGGCTGCCTCGATCATGTGCCCCTGACCGTGAGAAAAAAAATCATCTGGGCTGCATCGCCTCCTCCCCGCTCTCGGGCTCCGCCGGGGCTCTCCACGGGCCCCAGGAGCACCCCGGAGCGACTCACCGCGAGAAGTATAGGTCGGGCGTGTCCCTCGACAGGGGGGATCTGCAAACATAGTTCAGAACAGTCAGGGGACGATTTTTCTAGTATCATTGGCTAAGTTTGAATTTGTTCGACTATTGTTTAATTTTGGAGGCATGCTTGGAGTATTCCTTCATTCTTCGTCCAAAACCCGCCTGTGGGAGGACATGCCCGACCTAAAGCGGGGAGCCGGTCCTGGCGGGAGGTCCCCGGGGTGCGGGAGCCGCCCACTTCGGGCCAGGTCTCTAAAACGACACGAAGATCGGGACAAGATCGGATCGGGATAAAACTCGAAATCTCTGAGGATCGGCGGGTTCGGAGGATGTATGGGGCGCCGCGGCCGCTCTCAGAGCGTTCCGGAACGCTCCGGGAGCGCTCCGGAACGCTCCTGGAGCGATCTATCCCGATCCTGGCCCTGTTTTAGTCTCCCTTATCTTCGGCCACGCGCAGCGGGGGGCAGGGGCGGTGAGGAGGGCTTCTCTGCGAAGCAGCCCCTGCTGCTTACTCAGGAGGCGCGGGCCTTGTCTACAGATGCAGTGCCGCTGCCTTTTTTAAGAAGCAGGGGTGCTTCTAAGAAGCATGCCCCCTCCCCCTACCCTGAAGTCGGGCAGGTCCCGCTACTGGAGAATATGCTTACAACACACATAATCAGAACTCAGTCCGGGGACGATGTCTCCACTGCGTTTGATCCTGTTTGAATGATGTGTTTATGACTGTGCCTCCTTTGTTGTCCTCCGAAATCCGCCCGTAGGAGGTCATGCCCGACCCAACCCTGCCCCACCTGCGAGCCACGCGCTGCACAGTCCCACGGAAGCCGTCGAGGGCCCTCGGGGCGTCTTCTGCGTCGGGACCTGCGCCCCTGGCTCCTTGCGCGCCTCCGGCGCCGCCGGGGCGACTCGGGGCTCCCAGGGTCCCAAGCCCCGTGTGGTGACGGACCGCGCGGTGAGGTGTAAGTCGGGCCTGTCCCTCCACAGGGGGGATATTCAGAAATAGTTAAGCAATAGTCTGGGGATGATGTTCTGACCATTTTTGAATCGTTTTGATTATTTCTGGGGCATTTTAAATTTTTCGTCCAAAATCTTCCTGAAGGAGGACACGCCCGACCTAAGGTGAGGTCGCTGGGGGTTCCGAGGTCTCCATGCGGTCCGCCACCGTACGGGTTTGGTGCCCGCTGGTGGTTCGCCTCGCCCCTTTTCCAGGATTCGTCCGCATCCTCGGATGGGGAAGAGGTGCGCGGGTCGAGGTTCTAGGTTCGAGGAAGCGTGGGTGTTTTTTGTTGGCCTCCAGCGGCCGTTTTCGGGGACCGGGCCGAAACTCTGCGCCTGATGTAACCCGGGAGGGGTCCGGGGATAGATTTGGACCTCTATAATTTCCGCCCTCTTCGCTTTGCCTTCACGGCGGCGCTGGCGGTCGCGAGCGCGGTTGTATGGCCGATGGGCCGCGCCCGGCACTAGGCAAACTCGGGGCGCAGTAACAGCCAGCGCTGACGCTGGCTCCGCCTGTGGGGCTCGTCCAAGCCGCCGGCGCGGCGAGCGGCAGCGGGGCTCGAGGCGCTCTGCCGCAGACCAGAGGGCGCGGGGGCATCTGCACGGTTTCCCCCAGGGCAGTAGGCGACCAGAGGAGGAGGAGGAAGAGGGGGAGGAGGAGGAGGAGGAGGAGGAGGAGGTGGAGGAGGAGGAGGAGGAGGAGGGAGGAGGAGGAGGAGGAGGAGGAAGATGAGGAGGAGGGGGAGGAGTAGATGAAGGAGAGGAGGAGGAGGAGAAGGAGAGGAGGAGGAGGAGGGTGGAGGAGGAGGAGGAGGAGGAGGAGGGGGAGGAGTAGTTAGATGGAGGAGAGGAGGAGAAGGAGCAGGAGGAGAGGAGGAGGAGGAGGAGAGGAGGAGGACGAGGAGGAGGAGGAGGAGGAGGAGGAGGTGGAGGAGGAGGAGGAGGAGGAGGAGGAGGAGGGAGGAGGAGGAGGAGGAGAGGAAGGAGGAGGAGGAGGAGGGGGAGGACGGGTCGCTTAAGCCCTTCGGAGAGACCCACCAGGGGCAGTGATTCGGCCCGCCCGCCGCCCGACCGAGCCCCGGACAAGGCCGTGCGCGCGCTGGCCGAGCTCGGACGGGGCCAGGACGAGGATGAACCCGTTCCGGAGCGCTCTGGAACGCTCTCGCAGAGCGCTCCGGAGCGCTCTGAGGAGGCCGTGGCGCCCGAGCCATCCTCCCGAGTAGCCGGATCTCAGAGACTTTCTTCGACCCAGACATTCGACGTCTTGATTTTTTCAGGACGGCGTCCCCAGAAGTCCCGACCCTTCCCTGGGACCAGTTTTCCGTCCTGGGTCGTTTTTGGACGTTCCCGAGGCCCGTTGAGGCCCCCCGAGGCCGCAAACTGGCAGAAGCCGCCCGTCCTGATTTTTTGTTACGACGCGATCTTGTCTGGGAGAGATTCTCTCGGGGGCCCCCAAACGGTGTGGTGACCACACCGTGTGGTGAGTCGGTGGGGATTCGGGGTCACCGCACAGTTTTGGGACTCGAGTCCCTCTCCGAGGACGTCTCGGGCGACAGGGGCCTCCAGGGTCCCAAAACCGTGCGGTGACGGACCGTGCGGTGAGGTCTTGGGGGCTTTCGAGGTCGCCGCACGGTCCGTCACCGCACCGTTCCCAGACCCCCGACGTCATGAATTTTTCATGACGTCGACCCCCAGCGGTCTGGAACCTTTCCCCGGGACCGGTTCTTCGTCCTGAGTCGTTCTTTGACGGTCCCGAGGGCCGGTAGAGGGCCCCCAGAGGCCAAAGATAAGGAAAAACTTCCCGTCGTGATTTTTTCATAACTCGAGGGGGTCTGGGTTTCGGGACTCCAAATTCTCTCCTCGCCCTGGCTTTGTCCTGCGAGCCACCGGCGAGGCCGTGCGCGAGCCGGCGGGGCCAGGCCGGGCCGTGATTCGGCGTCACCCCAACAGACTTATACCATATGTGCGTCGCCCCCCCCCCCCCCCCCCAGGGGGCGACGCGCGCACCGAGAGATCTTACAGTGTATGCGCGTCGTGGCGGGCGCTTTCTGGCCGCGCCGCTCGGGGCACGGTAGACTACAAGAGGGGTCTGCTGCATGCTCGGGCTGGACGCGCGCCTCCCTAAGGAAGACATCTCGTGCTAGGCTGTCGTCGTGCCTCCCACTGGCGCCCCCCCGCCGGCCAGGCCGTCGCGGGGGCCGAGGACGCGCTGGGGGGCCACGGCCAACGCCGCCCGCGGCGCAGGACGGGCGCTCGCGCCGCGGCCATCGCCGCCGGCGCTGCCGTCGTCGTCGCCGCTCGTTTTCGACGCCCTCGCCATGTGGTCGTCGCACGTCGTCGTCGCCGTAGTCGTCGTCGCCGCCGCCGCCGCCGTCGTCGTTGTCGTCGATGTCGCCGTCCTCGTCGCCGTCCTCGTTGCCTTCGTCGCCGCCGCCGCCGCCGCCGCAGCCGTCGTCGTCGTCGTCGTCGTCATCGTCGTCGTCGTCGTCGTCCGTAGCCGTTTTGGCTCAAGCCGCCCACAGCGGGCGAACCCGCTGGCTGCTCCTGCCTGCTCGGGTGTGTGCGCGGGCTGCTGAGGCTGGAGGGGCGCCGCGTGGAGTTTGAGAATGTCTGCGGGAGACCTGCGGGGCCGTAGGCATGCGTCTGGAGGTGGAATGCGGGGGAAGGTCTGGGCGAGGAAGTCTGCTGACAACCTTGCACGACGGCTTCGGCGTGAGCGCGCGCAGAAGGCGGACGACGCGTTGGTAGGCTGTGCGACGGACCTAGCCCTGGGCGACCTGAGGATCTGCAGCAAGCTGGACGGCGACACCGTGCGAGTGCTGCGCGGGCGGCTGGTGGCGCTGGGGCAGGCTCTCTTGCTCCACCGGCGGCTTGATGCGGAGCTCGGCCATCATCGTCATCGCCTAGGGGACGCGCTGCGGGAGCTCGCGAGCGTCGTGAAGCTGCCCGTGGAAGCGGTCATCGGGTCATCGAGGCGAAGGCCGTCAAGGCTGCAGGAGACGAGGCTCGGCACGAGCCATGGGGGGGCGACAGCTGCGGTGCAGGCAGGCCTGAAGGCGCAGCCCCGCCCTCGGCTTCTGCTTCGGGCTTGCGCGTGGATGCCGCGCCGTGCACACAGCAGGCTGGCGGCTGAGGGCCTATGGGGTTGGGCTGGCGCTGCTCTTGCGGCGCGACGGTGTTCTCCGGCTGCCGCGGCACGCTCTGCGGGGCTCCGCGCGGCACGGGGACGCCAAGGCCCGCAGGGACGCAGGCCGACCAGGGCGAGGGGTCGGGCATCGCGGTGACGAGCGAGTTCAGGGCCGAGGCGGAGGTCTCCGTGCCGCTCGCCGAGCTCCACATGCAGGTGGTGGATTCCCATGGCGGGCCTCGGATGCAGGGGCAGCGGCGCGCGCAGCCGTTCGTGCGGGGCCGAGCGGTGTTGGACGCGGCGGCGTGCGAGCAGGAGGGCTTCGTGGACGGCGTCGGCGTGGAGTCGGAAGAGAGCGAGCAGTACAGTTTCTCAGACGGCGTCGGCGAGGACTCGGAGGAGCACGAGCAGGTGAGGGGCGACGAGATCGAGGATGACGACGGCCTGCGGGCGGCCACGTCCGACGGCGTGTCGAAGGCGACCTGCGAGCCTGACGGCGACGGCGAGGGCGAGCTCGGCGAGGGCTCCTCGGGCGAGCTGGACGCCAAGTCGGAGGGCATGCTCAGGAACGAACCCGACGAGGAATCGAGCGAGAGCTCGATAGGGGTCGACGTGAACCGCTTCGCAGGGGTGATGGTGGAGAAGCACGTGGCCAAGGCTGCGGAGCTGCCTGCGGGCCTGCGCGACGATGCGCGCTGTGGCGTCGAGAGCGCAGGATCGTCGGGCGGCGGCATCGCCACCAAGGAGATCGTCGGCACGAGGGAGGATACACAATGGGGGGACCTGATGGACGAGGAGGCGATCCATTTCGCGGGGGTCCACGTTGAGGTGAGCGTAGCCTGGCCGCGGACGCTGCACGAGGACCCGCTGGCGGTGGCTGGCAGGCTCATCGCGGAGCACGAGGCGGCCGCCAGGGCGAACGGAGCCAAAGCCGAAAGCAAGGGCAGGGGCGGCAGGGTCGGCGAGGGAGGCTGCGGAGGCCGCGGCCCGCGCTGGGCTGAGGCGGGAGCCAGCTGGCTTGCGCGGCGGGACGGCTGGATGTGATGCGAGCTGAGCGGCGCGCGCGAGCGCCCATTAGACGCGCGTTGCTCTGCCTCGTGGGACCGCGGTGGGCGGCCCGCGAGGCACCGTCCAAGAACGTCCAAGAACGTCGTCGTCGTCGCGGTCGTCGTGGTCGTCGTTGCCTTCGTCGTCGTCGTCGCCGTCGTCGTCGTCGTGGCCGCCACCGCCGCCGTCGTCGTCGTCGTCGTTCGTCGGCGTGGTTGTCGTTCTCGTGGTGGGCGTCGTCGTCGTCGTTGTCCTCGCGGTCGTCCTCGTCCTCTTCCTCGTCCTCGTCGCCGAGGTCGGCGTCGAGGAGTTTACTTCCGCCAGCGCCATTGTCGATGAGGAAGGAGGAGGAGCAGGAGGAGAGGAGGCAGCACGGGGAGGAGAAGGAGGTTGAGGAGGAGGAGGAGGAGGACGACGACGAGGACTGAAAACGATGAGGAGGAGGGGGACGAAGAGGATAGGGTGCGGGGGAGGGGGACGGGGATCTGGATGAGCATGAGAAGCTTGGGGAAACAGCAGGAGGAGGTAGAGGAGGAGAGCGAGGAGAGCGATCCTGATGAGGTCGAGGCAAACCAGGCTGACGAGTAGTTCGAGTAGTGACAGGAGGAGGACACAGAGGAGGAAGAGGAGGAGGAGGAGGAGGAGGAGGAGGAGGAGGAGGAGGAGGAGGAGGAGGAGGGGGGTGAGGAGGGGGAGAAGGAGGAGGAGGAAGAGGAGGAGGAGGTAGGCAGGGGATGGCGAGGAGCAGAAGGGGGAGGAGTATTGGGACGAGAGGCTGGAGTGGGGAATGGCAGGGAGGAGGAAGAGCAGCAGACCGACAATGGGAGGAGGAGCAGGAGGAGCAGGAGGAGGACGAGGAGGAACAGGAGGAGGAGGAGGATGACGACGACAAGGACGATCAGGACTGGCAGGAGGAGGACGGGGAGGACGCGGAGCAGGGGGAGGAGGACACGGAGGCGGCTCCAGCCACCACGCTCCAGCTCCCAACGTGGGCGAGTGCTGTGCCGATGCCGCCCGCAGCTGCCGCCTGACCTGTCGGGCTCCCTCTCGGAGCGAGCTCGGGGAACGCCGGCCACCCAGCGTGCACCGACTCTTGGCCAGGCGCGCGCTCCGGCATGCCAGTGCTCGGCCTCCTCAGCCCCTTCAGTCAGGCGATCGCAGACATGGATTGAGGGGGCGTGGATTAGCGACGGGTCCCGTTTCCATGGGACATCGCGGATTTCCGCACACGGCGGCGGCACTGGCCGCATCTTGGGGAGGGCACTTCTCCCGATCCGCATGGATCTTGGCGACCGCGCGCCAAGTCCATGGATCGCCAATCCGTGTTTGCGCGCCCTCGATTCGGGCTTCCGTGTTGCCTCCTGCTGGTGGCCCTGCATGTGCACGATGAGGCCGCCACGCTGGCTTCCCCAAGCTCTGGACAGCACGCCCCCAGATCTCGTGGGTCCTGCCCGCGCGCGCGGCCGGCCATTCAAACAGATCCTTCCCCTGCTGCCTCCTCGTCCTGCCCATCCCGGCCCATCCCTACGGTTAAGTCGGGCCTGTCTCTCTACAGGAGTAACACTCGAAAATTGCCCAAACCAGTCAGGGGACGATGTTTGGAGCATTTTGTGACCATTTGGGGGTTCATTTTTTCGCCCAAAATCCCCCTGTCGGGGGACGTGCCCGACCCAACCCTACGGTCGGGAACTTTGGGTTAGCGTGTGTCTCCGCCGGTTCCAGCCCACCAGGCTGCGGCGCGGCATGCTATCATGTTCCAAGGCCCCAGGCTGCAACGCCCCAAGCTCACCCGCGCCTCCCGCCGGGGAGGTGGGGGAGGAGGAGGAGGTGGGGGAGGAGGAGGTGGGGGGAGATGGAGGGAGGGAGGGAGGGGAGGGAGGGAGGGAGGAGGAGGAGGAGGAGGAGGAGGGAGGAGGGAGGGAGGAGGAGGATGAGGAGGAGGAGGAGGAGGGAAGGAGGAGGAGGAGGAGGAGGAGGAGGCGAGGAGGAGGAGGAGGAGGAGGAGGAGGAGGAGGAGGAGGAGGAGGGGAGAGGAGGAGGAGGAGGAGGAGGAGGAGGAGGAGGAGGAGGAGGAGGAGGAGGAGGAGGAGGTAGGAGGAGGAGGAGGAGGAGGAGGAGGAGGAGGAGGAGAGGAGGAGGAGGAGGAGGAGGAGGAGGAGGAGGAGGAGGAGGAGGAGGAGGAGGAGGAGGAGGAGGAGGAGGAGGAGGAGGAGGAGGAGGAGGAGGAGGAGGAGGAGGAGGAGGAGGAGGGAGGAGCAGGAGCAGCCGCGGCGACGGGAGGCCTACGGGAGGCCCCAAAGACAGGACGGCACGACGCGCCGGGGAGGCCCGCCGGGGTCTCGCCGGGCCCCCCTCCCGGCCCTCCCGGCCGCAGGCCATGGAGTCGGTGGGCCGGTAAAAATGAGCCGCTCCCGATGGAGGTTGACACCAACACCAAGATCGGCGGTGTGCCTCCACCGAGGGAGGACGATCCCAATGAGCCTGTTTTTTTGGATTCAGGCAAGCTTACTTGCATGGCGTTCGCCCCCCCCCCCCCCTCGCCCCTCCTCAAGCGAATACTAGCGTGCAAGCGCCTTTCGACTTGCTTGATTTCCGCGCCCCCCCGAACGTGCAAGTCGTTTGCGGCTTGCTTCAGGCTCAGCCCCCCCCCCGTCCATGCAAGTAAACTTGCCAGAGTCTAAAACAAAAAACAGGCTCAATCTCGGTGATGGTTGTAATATGTTGGTTTCCAAGGTGACCGAAATATTACCACCAACACCGAAATCTAGGAGCAGTTTCCCCTGTTGCGGCAGCCTCTTGTGCTGGTGTCGGTGCCAATTTCCAGGCCTCCAACGAGGCCGCCGGAGCGGGGAACGCAGGCTGTCCACGCGCGCCTTGCCTCGAGTCGGGTCGGTCCCTCTATAGGGGGAATCTTCGAAAGCAGTCAAAACAATGTTCGTTGATATGTCTGCTAATATTCTTGTTATTTTTGTTAATACGTTTTTAAGTCAGGGGACGATTTTTTTGTTAATATGTTTGTCCATTTATGGGGGACAGTTTTGGAGTGTGTCTTATTTGTCGCCCAGAATCCCCCTGTAGGGGGACACGCCCGACTTAAGCCTCGCCCTGGTCCGGCCGCGCCGCAGTTTGTTTTCCGAGCGGCAGGCCTGACACATTGGGGCGATCGCAAACATGGATTCGGGGGGCGTGGATTGGCGACGGGTCCCGTTTCCATCGGAATTCGCGGAGTGTCGCCGCCGAGCGAGGCGGCACCGGCCGCTCTTTTTGGGAGGGCACCTCCCGCGATCCACGGATTAGGCGACGGCGCGCCGAATCCGTGGATCGCTAATCCGTGTCTGCGCGCCCCCGAGCAGGTAGGCCACGCCGTCCGTGCGCAGGCTTTTCGCTGCCAGAAGCGTCCCCGTGGAGCCCGCTGCCGCCTCGTCCTGGGCGGCACACCTCTGGGCAGTGCCACGGGGGGTCACCACTTCGTCCTGGAGGTCGAGGATCGGGGAGGGGCAGGGCCGAGGATCAAGGAAGCTCATGGGCGTCCGTTCCTGGGAGGCGGTGCGACATCCCAGTGTTAGCTCGGGCCTGTCCCTCTCTACAGGAGGAATATTCCCAAATAGTCAAGACATGGTTTGTGGACGATTTGTGTTAGGATGTTTTGACCATTTGGGGGATTTGTTGTTGCTATTTTCTATTTGTCCTCGAAAGTCGGCCTGCAGTGGGACAGGCCCGACCTAATCCCAGTGGTGGCCCCACTTGGCGTTGCCTGGTACTGGAGGGTCTCCCACGGAGGGAAAAATTGGGACAAGACATTATTTAGCAAGGGACGGACCTCCCATGATGAGATCTGCGATCCTGGAACAGCATTCAACACGTATGCGTACATATTTACATTATATATTTACGCACGTGCCAAGTTCATGATTTCGGGAAGTTGTCGGGCAGTTCTGAAGCATTCGGCTCAGTACAGTTGTGCTTATCGGAAGGTTCGGGAACGGTCTGGAGTGCGAGTGCTGGCCAGTGATGCGACGAAGACGATGTTCGATATTCTTGGTTGCGATGGCGCTGGGGCTGTTCCTCGATAGATGTGCTGTTCTCCTCGTGGCTTAACCACGCCTGGCAGTGTGTACATAACAGGCATGCCACTGTTTTCGAAAGTTGGTGACCGACGGGGCAGGTCAGGCTGAGGGAGGATAGCAGGTGAGATCGTTCCGTAACGAATGTTTGGCTCATGGTTTTCGCTCCAGTACGTTGGCTAATGTTTGATTTTGATGGCCGTGTTTGAAGACACTCGATTGTTTTTGTCTTCTCGGTGTACGTCGTGGCCAGTTCGGTGTGGGACAACCACGACCCAATGATTTCGTCGGCAGTGCCAGACGCAGAGGAGGCACCTGGCACCGTGCACATCGTAGTGTACAAGGTTGCAGGTGGCTCTGTTGAGGTGAGGTTGGATTCGTATGGTATGGTTTCAGACTTGAAGATGCGCATTGCCGAGATTTTGAAGGTGCCACCAGCTTGCCAAAAATTGATCGTTGGAGGATTGATCCTCAATGATGCGGATGTTGTTTCTACCTATTACCACACATCGAACCCTGTCCTTGTTGTTTCTCTAATCATTACACTAGACGAGGTAACGAAAAGCTTGGAGCATTTCGACCATGAACGGCGCGAGAAGGCTTTGCTGGTCTTAGCAGATTTGGGTTTACAAGGTGGTCTCTCATCCATGACAGCTGTACTCGGGCACCTTCAAGACATTCACTCCAGTATCAGAAGGGCCGCGTTGCATGCATTGCCCAAAGTAGTGCCGAAAGGAAATGTATCTGCTATTCAAGCGCTCAAGCCTCTTTTGTTAGATCCTGTGGTGTGTGTCAGGTGCAAGGCTTTAGAAACCTATGCCAAGTTGGCCCTGACAGTGCCCTGGGATGCCTTGGTACCGGAAGAATTGCGCACTTGCCTGCATGATAACGAATTTGTCGTACGCAGTGCAGCGCTCGAGACGCTGGGACGGTTGGCATCCAAGGGCCATTCTGAGTCGCTCCAATTGGCGACTGAGTGTTTGCGGGACACGCATGCGTCGGTGAGGCGGGCTGCGGTAAAGGTGCTGACCGCAGTAGCCGAGCGGGGGGATGAGCAAACTATAGAGACAGTGATTTCTTTGATTGAGAGGTCGAGCTCCGGTCTCAAGTGCGCCGCCATGGAGGCATTGGCAGCGATTGCCGAGAAGGGTGATGAGCGCGCCGTGCTTCTAATATGTGGGTTCCTGCAGGACCAGCAAGGGCTTGTAAGGCTAACAGCCGCAAAAGTTCTGACGAAGATTGCTGCTGCTGGGGATGCACGTGTACTGTCCTTACAAACCGCGGGCCTTCAGCAGACATTAACGATTGCAGATGCTGTTTCAAGGCGAATTGAGTTGGAACAGCGGTATTACCGGACAATGAGCAAGATTTCAGAAGGAGTTTCCGATCAAACTATCAATTGGAATGGTTGAAGAAACTCTGATGGCCTTGCCCAACGGCTTCTTTTATTGCTGGTGTAGCTTGATACTGGAGCACAATATATTGGAGATGTGGGATTTCTCTGCCTTGGTCTTGCCCGCAATGTCGTCTGAACTTGTAGTGTGTGCCGAAGTCTAGATTGTCTGCATTCGCCATGATACGCATGATGTGTTATCTGCGATGCTCTGCGAAAGGCAACTAATAAACAGTGACAGGTGATTTTCCTCTCATGAGCTACCCCATAAAGTTGTATGCTGGGATGGCCAGTGGAGATCACATTGTGCACGCGCAGATCGTCAATCGTGTAATACTAGATCGTGATGCACTCTGGTGTATACTAGGAACTGTTCGTGGTCTCTCTGGGGCAATATCCGTTGGACAGTTTTTATGGGTGTTATGACAGATGTGGGTATTTTCTTTGGTTTTCTTGTAAAGTATATTCGGTCGGTCGAATTTTTATCATACGTCCCCACCACGTGGCCGTTAGTCATAAGATGCTACTCGCTTTATGAGTTGTTAAAGAAGTGGGCCCACCAGTGCGAGGTGGCGTGTTCGTCTTTTTGTTGGATTACTTGGTGGAGGTTGGTAATTCCCCTTTCCCAGCTTGGTGGAGTAGTCGTATAGCTTCGGCATTGCCGCATATATTGGTACGTTGTGAGGGTTTGCTGCACATTGGGCAAGCGTTGAAAGCACACGTGTTTGTATTGGTGGGCATCATGGCAGTTCTAGTCTGAGCCTGCGACGTGAAAACCGCCAGAATCATTGAACCATTATGGGAAGGGAAAGGCTCAGCTACATGTACTTCCGTACGTGGTTTTGTGTTTGTTGTGTTGACAGTAGCGTGCGGTGCATACGCATTCTTCTTTTCAAAACCACACGGGTCGTCTTCTTGATGCACCCAACACGCACTCACATGTCGACGGAGTAGTGTGAAAGTACACATGCTTGAGATTTCAATAATTCATAATTGATCTATGTCAGTGTAGACGGTGCGAAGCGTGGACTCAAGCCTCAAAACGTGTTGAAAGTGTATTTGTTGGTAGTGCGGGTGTTCTTTTCTACGGTTGATCTTCGACCCAAACTATTTCTCTGTTCCGTCGCACAATTTGCGTCATGGCTCTTTTTGCCCGAAGATTGTGGGCAACCTTCTATTCAGAACTTGGCAACTGGCGTAAGCCTCTAGGAACGCCTCCCGCGAGGGTAAGTCATGCATATTATTCCTAACAACGCTGGTTGCGGAAATAATTTATTCCGCAGCATTATTTGGTTTGCAGCATGTAGCATTGTCACACTTCAGTTGCATCCACCATTTTCCAAGGCCAGGTGGCAAGCAAGGGTGGGGGCAATGGGTGCGATGGCGAGGGCGACGGCGGCGGCGACGTGACGGCGGCGGGCTGGGCCGCGAGGGCGGTGGCGAGGGCGAGGGCGACGATGGTGAGGGCCCAGGCGGCGAGTGCGGTCCTGCGCCACTGCCCTCGTCACCCCTCCCCTCGTCGCCGCTTCCTTCGTCGCCACGCCCCTCGTCGCCGCATCTCTCGTCGCCGCTTCCGCTGCCCCTGTCGGCCTCGTGCCAGCTGCTGCGCATCCCGGCGGCGAGCGAGGGGGAGAAAGTGAGAAGGAGAAGGCTTCCTCAGAAGGTGGCGGGTCTTCTCAGAAGCCCTCCGCGGCCTTCTGAGGAGTTGTTTGCGTCGTCGGGGAAGGCTCCGAAAACTTCTCAGAAGGCCCGAGGCCTTCCGAGCCTTCGGAGCAGGCCCGCCCCTTCTCACCTCCCCCTCTGGCCCGCCGCCGCCCCTCGTCGCCGCATCCCTCGTCGCCGCTCCCTCTGCTCCTGTCGGCGCCGCTCCAGCGGATGCGCATCGTCGCCGCTTCGACCGCGATGCGCCCCGCGACGGAGACAGCCTCTGCGGCGCAAGCGAGCGAGGCCTGACTGGCCGTGCCGTTGGAGCCGCCGGGCGCCGCGATGGCAGCGGTGATGCCCACGTTGGCGTCGGCCACGCCGATCGTCACTGGGTGCGCGCGGACGCCGCCGACAGCGGCGGTGCTCCGCTGGAGGCTCGAGGGCGCCAGCGCGGTCGCCCGCGCTGCCGCTGGCTCTCTGCGTACAGGCGGCCGTCGCAGGCGCGGGCGGGGGAGCGGCGGCGCGGGCGAGGGCGGCCGCGGCGGCGGCGAGGGGCGGGAACGGTGCACTGGCCGTGGCTCGGCCAGCCCCAGGCGTGGGCGTGCGCGGCCCAGGCCTGGAGGCCGTGCGCAGGCACGGGCCAGCGGCCCCCCAAAGCAGGCCTTCGCGGGACGCTGCTTTGAGTTCGGGGATCCATCGTTGTTGTCACACACGCATAAACACGCATAAGCACACAAACACCCACGCACACCCACACGCACACGCACGCACGCACGCGCACGCACGCACGCACGCACGCACGCACGCACGCGCGCGCGCGCGCACGCACGCACGCACGCACGCACGCACGCACGCACGCACGCACGCACGCACACACACACACACACACACACACACACACACACACACACACACACACACACACACACACACACACACACACACACACACACACATACACACACACACCACACACGCACACGCACACGCACACACACACACACCACATACACACACACACGCACGCACGCACACGCACAAACCACACACACACACACCACACATACACACACCACACACACACACGCACACACGCACACACGCACACGCACACACACACACACACACGCACACACACACACACACACACGCACACCACACGCACACGCGCACACGCACACGCACACGCACACGCACACGCACACGCACACGCACACGCACGCGCACACGCACACGCACACGCACACACACACACACACACGCACGCACGCACGCACGCACGCACGCACGCACGCACGCACGCACGCACGCACACACACACGCACACTTTTTACGTCAGCGGCGAGGCGGAGACGGTCCGCACCAGCGTTTGGCGATTCGGGGCAACCGAATGGCAAATTGGCCGGCACGCGATAGAAGGAAAACGAGACAGACGGGGCGGCCGCAGAGGACAGGAGGAGGCGGAGGGCACTCAGATGTGGAAGAATTCCACCCCGAGCGCGCCGGCGCGGCCATCAGCGGCAGCGGGAGCCGTGGCAGCAGGCAGGCCGCGGCGTCGGTGCATCCGACGACACACACACACACTTTTGTCGCAGCTGCAGGCCAACGGGTCCGGCAGCGTCAGCAGAGTTAGCTCGGGCTGCGAGCATCCTATCTGCCGGCGCGCGCGCCGAGCAAGCGGGCTAAACCTACCGCCGAGGGAAGGAAAACACAATCACACGCGAATCCAACCGGCGTGCGGTCACGGCTGCGCTCAAGGTCATGCGTGGTTCCTTCGTGCGGTAGCGTGGGCATGGTTTCTTCTTGTGGCGGCCAGGTCACCTGGCCGCGGCGAGTGCTGCGAGGCTGGGCGCGGTCAGCGCAATTGCCGCCTGGCGTTGCAGGTGGACGCAGGAGCATGCGCACGCACGCGCGCACTAATTCGCGAGCGGCGCGGGCGTTTTTTTGTCTCAGTCGGCGCGCGGCTGCGGGCGTCGGCCGCGGGGAAGCCTTGCGACACACCAGCTAAACCAGTCATGAAGCCCACACATTGTGCCCGTGGTTGATGGAACACGTCGCCCACAGAGCGGGTGAACTCGACATTTTGGACGCTTCGCGTTTCCTGACCAGCTCTGGACGGCGCGCGGTTGGACCGTGACGCTCGCGAATAACACATATCTTGACCAGCCTTCCCGCTGGTCTCTCGTTGTCTCTCGTCTCCTCTCCTCGTGTGCAATTTAGGCTTCTGCTCGTTAGCCGTAGCTTTGGACGGCGCGCGGTTTTTCCGTATGCGCTCGCGAACAAAACTATCTTGACCAGCCCATCCAGAAACGATGCCCAGGCAAGTTGGCGGGAGAATTGACTGAAATAAGCAGGTGGCATGCAGTGAAACAACGAGACCTGTCATAACCAGCTATGAGACGATTCGGAACCTCTTGGATCCATCTTGGCGCTCTTTGTGGCCCTTTTCGGAGCCAGTTGGGGTCCTTTTTGGATCTCTCGGGGTCCTTTTGCGGGGTCTCCGGGCCTTCGAGCAAGGCTAATTCGTTGCCTCTCGGGCCCAGGGCCTTTCGAGGCCTTCCGATGACTCTGATTTCGTCGCCTCTGGGGACGCTCTTGGGGCTCTCTCGGGCGATTTTGGGGCGCGCGATTTTGAAGCCCCGGAGGCCCCGCGCAAACCCAAGGGTGAGAAACACACAGAACTAGAAGACGACAGCAGGCGCCTGAGCGATCTGGGCCCGTCGTGGGTCTCGCTGGGACGCCGAATGGCCGCTTTTGAGGTCCTCTTGGGGCAGTCTTGTGGCCTCGTGGAGCTGCACGGTTTTCCCTGGGGCCGTAGGGCGACCCGAGGAGGAGGAGGAGGAGGAGGAGGAGGAGGAGGAGGAGGAGGAACATGAGGAGGAGGAGGAGGAGGAGGAGGAGCAGGAGAGGAGGAGGAGGAGGAGGGGTCGCCTGAGCCCTTTGGGGAAACCCTCCATTTGGAGCCATGTTGAAAAACCATTGTGGAGGTCATCTTGTGCTATCGGACGCTCGAGCGCCTCTCGCCCCCCCTCCGCAGACCTACTGGGGAGGAGACGGGGGCGGGGTCAACCCCTCGCCGAAGGGTAAGAAGGAGTTCGGGCAAAATAAACTATCAGTCGGGCATGTCCCTCTACAGGAGGAATATTCAAAGATAGTCAACGAATCGTCAGGGAACGATCTTTCTGCGCCATGTTGCCGTATTATTTGACTATTGTAGTGGCCTGAAGCCAGTGCCGCCGATCCCGTGTGCAACCGATTCTGGTTGCAACGGAGGACCTTGTATGTTTGAAAGAACAGCACTCGCTCGAGACATCCTCATACCATAGAGATGTTGAGCTCGCTTAGGCAACCGTCGGATATTCGAAAGTGACGATCTCGCGTGAACAGCCAAACTCATGGGATGTCCCCTCCCATGGCGTCAGCCCCCGCCCCCCCCCAGACTTCTCCCTCCCGGGCCTGACCATGGCGTCAGGGTTCCTCCCCCCCCTCTGGATCCCCCTCCCGGGCCTGAATGGCGTCAGCCATGACGTCAGCTCCCCCCCCCTCCCCCGACTTCCCCCCGGGCCTGAATGGCGTCAGCCATGGCGTTCCCCCCCCCGTCCCATCCCCCCCCCCTCCCTCCCCCCCCGTTCCCCCCCCCCTCCCCCCCCTCGTCACTCCAATGCCTGAATGGCGTCAGCCCCTTCCCCCCTCCTCCCTCCCGGGCCTGAGGCATCAGCCCCCCCCCCCCCCCCGACAGAGCGAAGCCACCCCCCCCATCCTCCCTCCTGGGCCTGAATGGCGTCAGCCCCCCCCCTCCCCCCATGGTCTCCTCCCAGGCCTGAATGGCGTCAGCCCCCCCCCCCCCCTCCCCCCCCCCGACAGAGCGCAGCCCCCCTCCTCCTC